CATTTCAAGAATAAGAAGAATCCACCTATTCTCAGTAATTTGGCCAAGCACCTCAGCAATAAATGATTGTGGTAATCTCGCAATAATACCTACCATAATCAATAAAGAAATACCATTTCCAATACCCTTATCAGTTATTTTTTCACCTAACCACATCGCAAAAATTGTACCCGTAGCTAAGATAATCATATTACTAAACCAAAAAACACCAGGATTTATTGACGAATCTACAGCTCCAGGAGTAGTATTCAACATTAATAAATAACCGCTACCTTGAACTAAGGTAATTAAAAGTGTTAAAAATCTTGTAATTTGATTAATTCTCTTTCTTCCCGATTCACCTTCCTTTTGCTGAAGCCGTTGAAAATATGGTACAGCGAAACCTAATAATTGCACTATAATAGATGCAGTAATATAAGGCATAATACCTAAAGCAAAGATAGAACCTTGATTAAAAGCCCCACCAGTAAAAGTATTTATTAATTGAAGTAAGTCATTAGCCTTTCTTCCTTCTGAAGCAGCAGATAGTGCAAGTGCATTTACTCCGGGTAATACAATATAAGACCCTAATCTAAAGACTGCAAGAACTACTAAAGTAAAAAGAATCTTATCCTTTAATTCCTTAATACTCCATATATTTTTTAACGTTTCTAAAAACTTATTCATGTTTTTATTAATTAAGCATTTATTGTACCGCCAACAGCTTCGATCTTAGTCTTAGCTGTAGCTGAAAAAGCATCAACTATAATATTAAGTTTTACACTAAGTTCTCCATTACCTAATACCTTAATTTTGTCCCCTTTATTAATAATACCTTCATTATATAAAGCAACTTTTGATATTTCCGTTAAGCCATAATTGTCATGTATCTCTTGTAAACGAGAAACATTTATAGCAACATAAGTTACATTATTAATATTCTTAAACCCTCTTTTAGGTAAACGCATCTGAATTGGCATTTGACCCCCTTCAAAAGCCCTTTTACTCTTGTAACCAGTCCTTGCTTTAGCCCCTTTATGTCCTTTAGAAGCTGTACCACCAGAACCACTACCTTCACCACGGCCTAATCTGCCTTTCTCATTTTTAACTGACCCTAAAGCAGGTGTTAAATTATGTAACTTCATTTGAAAAAATTTACATTTTTATTTTAAATGGAGTAAATCTCCTTAACATTCTTCTACAATGACTAAATGTGCCACCTTTGCAACCATTCCCATAATTTGTGGAGTTACTTCCTTAACTACAGGATTGTGAAGTTTCTTTATTCCTAAAGCCACTATAGTGCCTTTCTGACGTTTACTTCTATCAATTGCACTCTTTATCTGAGTTATTTTTATGTTTCCCATTTTTTTTGGAATTTTATTAACCTTCGTAAACTTTATTAAGATTCACACCACGATTTTTTGCAACTTCATGCGCATTTCTCATTTTAGAAAGTGCATCAATAGTTGCTTTAACAACGTTATGTGGATTAGAAGAACCTTGAGATTTTGCTAATACATTATGAACTCCAGCCATCTCAAGAACAGCTCTCATCGCACCACCAGCAATCACTCCAGTTCCATCTGCGGCTGGCTTTACTAAAACCTTTCCAGCACCATACTTTCCTTTTTGCTCATGAGGTACAGTTCCTTTATGTA